TCTGTTTGGAGAATAAAGCGGAAATTTCACGCCCAACCTGGGGATATGAATATAGTGCTCCAACACCTCACAAGTGAGGTTTATGAACACGCCTGGATGACATACTTGGACCCCATGATACGATGATTCTATCAAGATGGCCAGCAAGAGCACTGTAAATTTATCTCCACCAAACCAAACAGGAGGAAAAATGCAACAGATTATTTCCTCTATCATCAACTTCATGAGTGAAGTCTCATGTACTATATCTCCATTTGGATCAGAACTGTCATACTACGTGCATATCGCGGATGGACCTATTCCGACCCTCCATGAGCTTAATACTCATGATATTATAAGCGCTAACTTCTACAATTGTTCTACACAAATGTGATTGAAATAATGGAGGTTTATTTCTGGAAATCGATATGGTGGTTGCAAACCATTATCTGAGAGATATCACCACCGAGGGCGTCTCAGGTATACACCAATTCGATCCCATGGTCCTCGCACAACAGCTGACAGTTCCTCGGAGAAGATAAGTCAATCTAACAGATTTTTACTTATCTTATAACAATACTAAATAGCTTCATGCTATATATAATTTACTTAAGTTCCTTTTATCATCACAGTACTATGATTATTACATCATACAATATATAAGTTAACAACTCTACAGAGTTTGTTATTATATATATTTACCTTAAGTTATTCATATCTTAAGAGTAATACTATGGTTACATGATAAATGCATTAGCTAACAAACTCTACAGAGTTTTTGGCTATTTTATACATAGCTTAAGTTAATTAAGCTAACAAACTCTACAGAGTTTTACTATTATATAGGTAACTTAAGCTAATTATACCTTAAGCATAGTACTATACTCATATTATTAAAATATATTGGCTAACAAACTCTAAGGAGTTTTGCTATTATATAGGTAGCTTAAGCTTATTCATATCTTAAGCTTAGTACTATGTTTATATCATATAAGTAGATTAGCTAACATACTCTAAAGAGTTTTTTGCTATTTGGCTTAAGTATCATCATATTTCTAAGCAATATGGTTATATTATAACATGTATTAGCTAACAAACTCTACAGAGTTTTAGCTATTATATATGTAACTTAAGCTTATTCATATCTTAAAGCGCAGTACTATGTTTATATCATATAGGTATATTAGCTATCAAAACTCTAAAGAGGGTTTTGCTATTATATATTTAAACTTAAGTTTCATCATATTTTAAGCTTTATGGTTACATTATAACATGTATTAGCTAACAAACTCTCACGGAGTTCTTGCTATTATATATGTAGCTTAAGTTTTCCTTCATAAGCTCAATACTAGGTTTATATCATAGCTAACAAACTCTAAAGGGTTGTTTTAAGCTATTATACAATTAGCTTAAGTTTTCATCATATCTTAAGCAGTATGTTTACATTATAAAGGTATTAGCTAACAAAACCTCGTGAGGAGTTTTGTTATTATATATATATAGCTTAAGTTTCATCATAACTTAAGCTCAGTACTATGTTTTTAACATAAAAGTATATTAGTTAATAAACTCTAAGGAGTTTATTTTGCTATATACATTTAGCTTAAGTCTAATCTTATCTTAAGCTTAGTACTATGGTTACACTATAAACATATTAGCTAATAAACTCTACAGAGTTTTTTTGGCTATTATATATGTAGCTTAAGTTAATAATATCTTAAGCACAATACTATACTCATATTGTAAAATATATTAGCTAACAAACTCTCTGGAGTTCTGCTATTATATATGTAGCTTAAGTTCATTATATCTTAAGCACACTACTATACTCATATTGTAAAATATATTAGCTAACAAACTCTCACAGTTTTTGCTATTATATATGTAGCTTAAGTTAATTATATCTTAAGCACACTACTATACTCATATTGTAAAAATATATTAGCTAACAAAACCCTACAGAGTTTTGCTATTATATATGTAGCTTAAGTTAATTATATCTTAAGCTCAGTACTATACTAATATTATAAATATATATTAGCTAACAAACTCTACAGAGTTTGGCTATTATATATGTAGCTTAAGTTAATTATAGCTTAAGCACAGTACTATACTCATATTATAAAATATATTAGCTAACAAACTCTACAGAGTTTGGCTATTATATATGTAGCTTAAGTTAATTATAGCTTAAGCACAGTACTATACTCATATTATAAAAATATATTAGCTAACAAACTCTACAGAGTTTTTGCTATTATATATGTAGCTAAAAGTTTATTCATATCTTAAGCTCAGCATTATATCTATATCATATAAGTATATTAACTAACAAACTCTAAAGAGTTTGCTATTATATAATTAGCTTAAGTTTAATCATATCTTAAGCTTAGTACTATGTTATATCTTAAAGTATTATTTTATACTAGCATATTAACAAGCTTAAGTCTATTAGTCTTAAGCATTGTATTAATGTTATATATACTTTATCATAATAAGTACATGGTAATAACCTTTTATATGGGCAGCTGATAAGTTAGCAGCAGGAATTCATCAGTTCAGTGCTTTATGAAGTTCCCATAGGGTTATTACAATCATCACAGTTCAAATCACTAATTATTAAAAATCCAAAGTATTAGATATTCCCACCTCCGTTCCATGCGTAGGATGCTACAAACAAAAAGAGCATGAGTCAGGATAAGGAAAAATATGTAATTTTGGAGTAAAATTGATATTTTATACTTATCCTGACTCATGAGGTCAGCCCTCCCATCCTCCCAAATAACACTTTGGATTTCCCTGTAAATTCAAATGTTGGGCTCAGTATATGAGGAGAGAGTGAGGCACATGGGTAGAGGTGGCGCCCTCGTTCCCGCGCTTGTGGAAAGGAGGTAACTCGTGGTGAATACTAATTAGTGATTTTAAATTGAAGGGAGCTTCAATTAGGGAGATACAAGTGTTCCACTATGTTCGCAAGAAGAAGAAGACAAGCAAAAAGAGCATGAGTCAGGATAAGTATAAAATATCAATTTTACTCCAAAAATTACATACTGTTTTTAAAGAAAGGCGGACATTATGCAATTAGTTGCCAGGTGTGCTATCTTGGGTAACCAATGAGACTATACACCAATACCTGAAAAGATTTATCACTTTTTCGTATATTAAACTGTTAAAAGACACATCATTTGGAACAGTTTTGTGGATATTGATGGATACATTCCTCGAACAAGGTAATGGCCTGATATTGTTCCTATAACTTTAATCTGTTTTAATTTTAATATTTGCATTTTGATTTTATTCATTTTATCAGTAGCATTCAACAGAATCATTGTTTTTCGCCATTGAAGTGTAATGAGACAGACAACATGCACTAGGGTGTGTGTGCTTGATTATGATTCACATTGCCAAACTATAAAATGTCTAGATATTACAGTTCTGTTATAAATTCACTATAAGTATCAGCAGATCGTCAGCTTTTTTATTTAGTTTCAAAACATACAAGTATGATAATAAACTAATTAGGATTATAAGACCAAATATAAAGACGCACATTGACTAGTATCTACATACTGGTGAGTGGACATTAACCATGGGAATGTAGCAAGAAATTTATCACTGCAGTATTGTGATTTCGACCCCCACCTGCGCTTCCGTGGAAGAAATCGTTATGTTATAAGTTGTGTCATGCAAAATCCGTTTGGTTATGATTCCAATACATATTTAACTACTGGTAGAAAGTAGTCTTGATTATCTAACTTGATGAAAACAAACTATAATCTCATTAATTCTAACAGATTTTTATTTTTAAAAATGGCGGCCCTGTCAGGAACATCCGCCAGTCTGAGGATAAATGGTATTTAGGTTTGTTTTCGCAGTTACTAAAATCAAAACTACTTTCTACTGGTAGTGTAAATATGTATTTTATTGATAATAGGATTTTGCATGACATAGCTCATAACATAACAATTTCTCTCGTGGCAGCGAGGTGGGTGTCAATATAATACTACTTACAATATTATTGTTACTTACCACAACCTCACTTCGAGGAAGAAATCGTTATGTTACAAGTTGTGTCATAGAAAATCTTTATGGTCATCAATCATATGCATATTTTACAACAACTAGTAAGTAGTTTTGATTCTTTAACTTCCGTGAAGCGATCTGAACACAAGTAAGATATCGTTTCAGGCTTCCACAACGCCGCTAAACCGCACTCACAAACATAACCGATTTAGCCCGAACTGCGGGGTCCTGTGGAAATCTGTGCATGGGGACACCATCGCCCGACCCTAGGAGCAATTGGACGACAAAGCAACGATTCGGCATGTCATCGTTGATGTCGAAAATCATCAAAATGATGGCGTGCTACACATTTTCTATACAACTAACTGAAAATCGTTCCTCATATGACGTCACTGCAGTGCTCTGGCGACAGAGTTACGTAACCTGTCTGTGGTTTCGTTGGCGGGCGAGAGGGAAGCAGGCGACTTTTTGGCCACTTTTAATCGCTCGGTATTAATTAACCACAAGTTTTTAAAGAATAAATTTGGTGTTCCGCATAAGACTAACCACAAATCTTTCATATGTAATGGTTAAAAGAGTAACAAAAAACAAAGTTTAGTGGTTCTTTAAGTCTGGACTAGTACAAGCAGCCACACATACACACGCATGTACATAATCATATGAGCGAAATATTGTTGAGTACAACGTTAAACCCCATTTTACCTCACCTATATTTGATCATGTTGTGTTAACACGTTATAATTAGGGATTACACTTGCTCAGTAAAGTAACTATTGTAACACTTTTGTTGGGGTGACTCGGGGTCAGGCACATGATTGCTAGCACACAAAGTCAGCCAAGCAACTCGCTCAGCCACTGCGAATTCCCAAAAATGGAAGTGGAACAACTGGTGTTCCAGATTACATACTTTGTCCACTCGACAAGTGGAATTGGCAGTGATCATGTTGTGAATGTTATCTCCTCGGGTTATCTCCTCATGTTATCTCCTCGTGTAACAGTGACAGACATGATGCTGGAGCGGGACCCACAGGAGGAGATACTGAAGGCCTTCAAGTTGTTCGATGACGACACGTCCGGCAAGATCAGCCTCCGAAACCTCCGACGAGTGGCAAGGTGAGTGATGAGAAAGGGCAAGTGTTCTCTGTACACTGACATTGTCTCGCCAGGTTCTACTTTTGTTCTCTGTACACTGACATTGTCTCGCCAGGTTCTACTTTTGTTCTCTGTACACTGACATTGTCTCGCCAGGTTCTACTTTTGTTCTCTGTACACTGACATTGTCTCGCCAGGTTCTACTTTTGTTCTCTGTACACTGACATTGTCTCGCCAGGTTCTACTTTTGTTCTCTGTACACTGACATTGTCTCGCCAGGTTCTACTTTTGTTCTCTGTACACTGACATTGTCTCGCCAGGTTTTACTTTTGTTCTCTGTACACTTACATTGTCTCGCCAGGTTCTACTTTTGTTCTCTGTACACTTACATTGTCTCGCCAGGTTCTACTTTTGTTCTCTGTACACTTACATTGTCTCGCCAGGTTCTACTTTTGTTCTCTGTACACTGACATTGTCTCGCCAGGTTCTACTTTTGTTCTCTGTACACTGACATTGTCTCGCCAGGTTCTACTTTTGTTCTCTGTACACTGACATTGTCTCGCCAGGTTCTACTTTTGTTCTCTGTACACTGACATTGTCTCGCCAGGTTCTACTTTTGTTCTCTGTACACTGACATTGTCCGCCAGGTTCTACTTTTGTTCTCTGTACACTTACATTGTCTCGCCAGGTTCTACTTTTGTTCTCTGTACACTGACATTGTCTCGCCAGGTTCTACTTTTGTTCTCTGTACACTTATATTGTCTCGCCAGGTTCTACTTTTACTGGGTAAACCTCTACAGCCAGTTTCACTGGCACTCACCAAGAAATCCCAGGGATTTTCCTCAGAATTGCCCAGATCCCAGGGATTTTCTGAGGAATTAGGAGATAAACATCATGTGTTGGCCAATTTCCGGGTTTTATTGAGTATTTGAAGCACGAGAATTTATATTCCCGTGCTTCAAATACTCGATAACACCCGGAAATTGGCCACCACATGATGTTTATCAACATTGTAAACACAAAAGTAAACCAAAAGGTCCACACACGTTTTTGTGTCTGCACTCATTGACATCGAGTACGGGGACAGCAGTGAAATGTCATCAGTCGCCCCTTTCGGCTGTCTCCCATGGTAGCATCTGGAACTGCTCATTTGTGACGTCATTCGGACTTTACGTCACAATATGATTTGAATGACGTCATCGCAGCTGACGACGTAACAATACAATGGTGTGAGCGATGTTTGTATGTATTAATACGCAGCGAATTTCCGGGAATCGAATACCATTTGATCATGTTTTTCAACCAATCAGATTAAAGAACGCAGTGACTTTTGGTTTACAATAGCCCTTGACTTTGAATTATTTTACTTGTACCAGGTTCGAGCGCGATCGTAAAATATCTCATTATTGAAAACTTCCAATGTATTGTGCTGATGTCTGGTTTCGAACCTGCAACCCTTCACTTACTAGCTTGGAGGTTTTATCCACTGGGCTACGAAGGATCGCTGAGTAGAATGAGATTGTTTGTCAGTATGAACCATGTGTTCCTCACAAGACGGGTAGTGCGGGCAGCGCACGTACGTGCAGGACACGGGTATGTGCATTGTGCATGCAAGGCAAGATATCGGCTGCCAATCACAACCCAGTTGAAACATCAGTAAATACCAAATATTGGAAGTATATCTTCGGTTGGTTCATAAGTTTGATTAAAACCTCAGAGTCGGTTTTGATCCTTCACAATACAGCAGAAACTCATTGACCTGTGACCTGGGGAACTAACTTCTGACTGAGGCATGTGTGAAGTTTACACCAGTAGTGGATATATATGCACAATGTCATTTAGAAAAGTGGTCAAATATAACATATCTCATAAAGTATCATTGATTACCAGCTGTGATACTGAGCAGCTTATATTGTTGAATCTCTGAAAATATGCAGAGTACTGCACATCTCTCGTAAAATCACAAGATGACTGTTGTTTTGGTTTGTTGTTACATGCCCATGTAACCTGTGTTGTTGTTACATGCCCATGTAACCTGTGTTGATATTACATGCTCATGTAACCTGTGTTGTTGTTACATGCCCATGTAACCAGTGTTGTTGTTACATGCCCATGTAACCAGTGTTCTTACATGCCCATGTAACCTGTGTTCTTACATGCCCTTGTAACCTGTGTTGTTGTTACATGCCCATGTAACCTGTGTTCTTACATGCCCATGTAACCTGTGTTGTTCTTACATGCCCATGTAACCTGTGTTCTTACATGCCCTTGTAACCTGTGTTGTTGTTACATGCCCATGTAACCTGTGTTGATATTACATGCTCATGTAACCTGTGTTGTTGTTACATGCCCATGTAACCAGTGTTGTTGTTACATGCCCATGTAGCCTGTGTTGATATTACATGCTCATGTAACCTGTGTTGTTGTTACATGCCCATGTAACCAGTGTTGTTGTTACATGCCCATGTAACCTGTGTTGTTGTTACATGCCCATGTAACCTGTTGTTCTTACATGCCCATGTAACCTGTGTTGTTACATGCCCATGTAACCTGTGTTGTTGTTACATGAGCATGTAACCTGTGTTGTCACATGCCCATACAACCTGTGTTGTTGTTACATGCCCATGTAACCTGTGTTGTTGTTACATGCCCATGTAACCTGTGTTGTTGTTACATGCCCATGTAACCTGTGTTGTCACATGCCCATACAACCTGTGTTGTTGTTACATGCCCATGTAACCTGTGTTGTTGTTACATGCCCATGTAACCTGTGTTGTTGTTACATGCCCATGTAACCTGTGTTCTTACATGCCCATGTAACCTGTGTTGTTGTTACATGCCCATGTAGCCTGTGTTGTTACATGCCCATGTAGCCTGTGTTGTTGTTACATGCCCATGTAGCCTGTGTTGTTACATGCCCATGTAACCTGTGTTGTTGTTACATGCCCATGTAGCCTGTGTTGTTATTACATGCCCATGTAACCTGTGTTGTTGTTACATGCCCATCTAACCTGTGTTGTTACATGCCCATGTAACCTGTGTTGTTGTTACATGCCCATGTAACCTGTGTTGTTATTACATGCCCATGTAACCTGTGTTGTTACATGCCCATGTAACCTGTGTTGTTGTTGTTACATGCCCATGTAACCTGTGTTGTTGTTGTTACATGCCCATGTAACCTGTGTTGTTCTTACATGCCCATGTAACCTGTGTTGTTGTTGTTACATGCCCATGTAACCTGTGTTGTTGTTGTTACATGCCCATGTAACCTGTGTTGTTGTTGTTACATGCCCATGTAACCTGTGTTGTTGTTACATGCCCATGTAACCTGTGTTGTTGTTACATGCCCATGTAACCTGTGTTGTTGTTGTTACATGCCAAAGTAACCTGTGTTGTTGTTGTTACATGCCCATGTAACCTGTGTTGTTGTTGTTACATGCCCATGTAACCTGTGTTGTTGTTACATGCCCATGTAACCTGTGTTGTTGTTACATGCCCATGTAACCTTGTTATTGTTACATGCCCATGTAACCTGTGTTGTTGTTACATGCCCATGTAACCTGTGTTGTTACATGCCCATGTAACCTGTGTTGTTGTTACATGCCCATGTAACCTGTGTTGTTGTTACATGCCCATGTAACCTGTGTTGTTGTTACATGCCCATGTAACCTGTGTTGTTGTTACATGCCCATGTAACCTGTGTTGTTACATGCCCATGTAACCTGTGTTGTTGTTACATGCCCATGTAGCCTGTGTTGTTGTTACATGCCCATGTAACCTGTGTTGTTGTTACATGCCCATGTAGCCTGTGTTCTTACATGCCCATGTAACCTGTGTTGTTGTTACATGCCCATGTAACCTGTGTAGTTGTTACATGCCCATGTAACCTGTGTTGTTGTTACATGCCCATGTAACCTGTGTTGTTGTTGTTACATGCCCATGTAACCTGTGTTGTTGTTACATGCCCATGTAACCTGTGTTGTTGTTGTTGTTGTTACATGCCCATGTAACCTGTGTTGTTGTTACATGCCCATGTAACCTGTGTTGTTGTTACATGCCCATGTAACCTGTGTTGTTGTTACATGCCCATGTAACCTGTGTTGTTGTTACATGCCCATGTAACCTGTGTTGTTGTTACATGCCCATGTAACCTGTGTTGTTGTTACATGCCCATGTAACCTGTGTTGTTGTTACATGCCCATGTAACCTGTGTTGTTGTTGTTACATGCCCATGTAACCTGTGTTGTTGTTACATGCCCATGCCCATGTAACCTGTGTTGTTGTTACATGCCCATGTAACCTGTGTTGTTGTTACATGCCCATGTAACCTGTGTTATTGTTACATGCCTATGTAACCTGTGTTGTTGTTACATGCCCATGTAACCTGTGTTGTTGTTACATGCCCATGTAACCTGTGTTGTTACATGCCCATGTAACCTGTGTTGTTGTTACATGCCCATGTAACCTGTGTTGTTGTTGTTACATGCCCATGTAACCTGTGTTGTTGTTACAGGGAGCTTGGGGAGAACATGACGGATGAGGAGCTGAGAGCAATGATAGATGAGTTTGACCGCAACGGAGATGGAGAGAGTGAGTAGTCTCCCCTTGTTGATACAGGATCAGTGGGATGTGTTTCAGTATGACACTGTACATCCTGTGAGAAGAAAACAATTTAGTTTCCAGGACTATCAGTGAAGACATTTTTAATTGTTTTCCTAAGTCTGCAAACCCTGAAGAACTGATATGGAATATCAACTTAATCTGAAAGACACTATTGTTTCTATTCCATCAAATGCAAACTTCCACTGCCAAGATTGTGCACACAGGTAGTTTATGTAAAAAGATAGCATACTGTTCCACTTTTGATAATTAGATATATATCCTATTTACATTACACTTGACATAGTATGAGAATCAGTTTTGTTCATCATGGAAAGACAAAAGTTTCCCAATGAAAAGTCTAGTTGTATATACAGAACATTGGTATAAACAGCCCTAGTTCGAACTCATGCATACTGGCCTTGTGAAATGTGTTGGCTTTCTGTCAAATGTTTGTGAGATCTTATAACGGGTGTTTTATCTAAATAAGAGATCTAGTATTGTTGAGATTACTCAACGCCTTACATGATGTTTGTACATACACTAACATTGGTCCATGTATCCATATCCGTTTGTGTTTGCAGTTGACGAGGAAGAGTTCATCGCCATTATGACGGGCGACACATAGATAAGAGGCGGGCCATGACATCATTCATGCCAGATTGACTAGGGACACATCTGACATCATACACCCGGGGGACTACCAATGACGCATTCGACACCATTTACAGAAAAATGTCTACCATTGACACATTCACTGGCTGGATCAACAGCCGCGGTGCAAAATGTGATGTGTCAGCTTATTACATGTCACATGATCAGTGGACAGTTGACCAGTATGTTGATAGTATATCCAGGATGTGAACTGTACTTTGTCACTGGTACGTCAAGTCAGCCATGTTTTCATGTGCATTCTATTCTCAACAGGTTCGCTGTCTGTATTGACATCTGACTTCAGGAACATTCCCTTTCACATGTCATACATTACATTCACCAGTTCTATTGACCAATACACTCATGTTGGATGTACTCTCAGCTGTCCTCGTTACCCTGGAAACTCACAGAAACTTTCCATCATAATCATAATCATAATCGATACAGTAGTAGACTTCTGTTTGCTGTACATTGGTGTCAACGTTTTGTGGGATATTTTGTGTAAGTCTTTGTGATTCTGATGTCCATGTAAGTGTAGAAACGTCGCTACGTCCATGGTGTAGACTCCTGAACCTGCTGTTACTGCTGCTGAATCCCGACCCAGGACCGTCTGTCTCTCCGTCAGCTCTTTAAGGTCTCACGACTCTCATTGACCTGCCCCCCACTTGGGTACAATGTGTGAAGCCCATTTCTGGTGTCCCCGCCGTGATGTTGCTGGAATATTGCTAAAAGCGGCGTAAAACCAAAACTCAGTCAGTCATTAACCTGTCAACAGCTTTAGACAAATCATTTTCAGAAACACTTCAAGTGTTTTTATTTGTACGTCCCAGAAACGTACAGACAATTCAGTCTGGTTGCTATCTAGAACCTGTACTAAGGCCACATTGTGCGGACTGCTCTTGACTACAGCATGTCAGTACGTTCTGAGTAAACAGCCATTCTACACCGCTATCTAACTTCTATGATTGCCGCAAGCTAAGATAGTTTTGTTGGACAAGATCAAGATAAGGTTGTTTCAGTTTGATAGAAGTATATTTCCCTGTGCTTTAAAGTTACTCTCTCACTCCGTCCCTTCATGTTGAATAACTGTTTGTTTATGCTATCGTTGTTGTCCTCGCCGTTTCCTTGTTGAGGAGTGTTTGAAATTTGTTTATCTGACATTGTCTTGTTTATGAATTGTCTGCAGACAAAAATCACCCCAGTACACTTTCTGTTGTTGATGGACCTGAACGAAATTAGGTAGTCACCAAGACTACCACAGGATGCCCTCATGTTCTGAATATCGACCACTAGTTCACAAGCTAACAGGTGTTAGTGGAAGAACAAGGTTGGTTACAATCATTCTGATTACTGTGTGGAGGGGTCAAGGTTGAAAGGCATTGTATATTGCAGTGAATGGTATCTCCATTTTCACGCTTATTCCAGGATATGTCTGTTTGGCTCAAAACAACAGGATCATTTCTATAACTTAAAACATACCTTATTTTATATTGGCAGAATTATTATACTGGTACTTTCAAAAACTGAATTAAAACGTTTTCAGGCACTGAGTGTAGCTTTTTGAGCCAAGCAGATTTACATTGTAGGAGGAAGTGTGAAATAGAGTTTGTGGTGACGAAGTAGCAGTATATGAGTGTGTCTGACATATATTTACTTACATTAGAACATGCTATGCCAAGTACACATTGTACCAGTGATGTACACTGAATCTCCATAGTCTGGACCCCATTAATCCCAAAACCTGTTCAGTAAGGACATCTGTCTGGAAAGTAGGAGACAATTGATGGATTGGTGAGCTATCATACTGATATGATACTTGTTATAACATCGTTAGGATGGGGCGTCTTGTACATGCAACAAGTCGTTACTTCAAGTCATACTTTACCGTCATTAACATGTTCGTCTGGTTCCAACAAGATTAGGGCGGTGGGGTAGCCTAGTGGTTAAAGCGTTCACTCGTCACGTCTATAGCCGTGTTTGATTCCCCACATGGGTACAATTTGTGAAGCCCATTTCTGGTGTCCCTTGCCGTGATATTGCTGGAATATTGCTAAAAACAGCATAAAACCATATTCACTCACTCCAACAAGCTTAGGGCGCAGGGCTGGAAATAACTTTAAAATTGTTAGTCTACTCCGGTACAGTGGCACAAGTAAAATCACTTGCCCTGATAATTTTTCCACTATACTGGCCGATTTTCTTGTTGATTTTTTAAATAAACGACATAATTAACATTGGAAAGTCAAATGGACACCGGTACAGTGTGATATACAAATATGCTTGCCCGACAGAAAAACACACTGGACTCAGGCATCGGGCAATGGGTTATTTCCACCCCTGGCGCGGTGGGGTAGCCTAGTGGTTTAAGCGTTCACTGGTCATGCCGGAAGGCCCATGTTGATTTGGTTCCCGTTCACATCACGGGTTTGATTCCCCACATGGGTACAATTTGTGAAGCCCATTTCTGGTGTCCCCTGCCGTGATATTGCTAAAAACCTAACTCACTCACTCCAACGGGACTATGTATAAGTCGCCATTATATAGCTGGAGCATTGCTGAGTGTGACTTGAAACTACAAACAAAAAGTCATGCATTTGTTCAAAACTTCTTTTTCTTCACCTTTTTAAACATGTTTCAGTGTACAGACAGTAGCCCTTGTAAAATGCATGTTGTAAGCATCTGTGATAAAATCATTTTGTATATCTGCTCTCCTGTTGTCATTCAACCACTCATTTAGAGTTTAATTTGGAATTAATTTGCGACAATCATATTCACGTGTGTATGATACTGTTGAGTTATGTGTATTGGTTGGTTGGTTGGTCACCAGTGTGCAGACTCTGTAGTGTGGGGCGGGTAGCCAAGTGGTTAAAGCGTTAACTCGTCACATCGAATACCCGGGTTCGATTCCCCACATGGGTACAACTTGATATTGCTGGAATATTGCTAAAAACAGCGTAAAACTTTAAACAATTCTGCCGCTTATCACATTTTGACGTGCGCGCCCTCAGCGAGTTGACCGAGGCGTTGGTAAAATACTTATGTCCACGACGACCGGCACGGCATCAATATTATTAAGATCACATCTCAGTTGACGCTGCCTCTAAACAAAGATAATACGAGTCAAGACACAACTACCTGTCATCCACCCAATCCGGGCGTCGCCTACCGAATCATGGAGGTTACACTAGGAATTTGTACACAAATCATGCAACCTCGGAAGGTTACCACGAGGTATTCCGAATGACATCTACACACTACGACTAAATCTGGCAATCGCGCACCATGTTCTTCCATTTTCAAATTTTGAATAGAAACTTTGGCGAAATATGTGTCCAAAAGTAATTTGAAATGAAAGTCGCAAGTTTAAACTGAAACCATAAATTTAGAAAAAATATACAGCCATTTTATTGTTAAATGTCAAATCGTTTGACTTTCTACTGGTAAATCAAAGGTTGTTCTGTCGCTACCTTTAATGACATGTCGTCAGATATTTGATTAGCGCTAGCGGGAGGGAACGTCTGACTTTAATGAAACTGGCTTGCTCTTTCTTCAAGGTTTGTTTGTATCAGCCGGTTGTTCTACGTGACCGTCTCGGTTTATGTCGGGATCAAAGAAGCTCTAGAGAAACCACCCTCCCAGGTGTTCGCCTGTTGTCTGCCGTCGTTAGTGTAATGTCAAGTCCGTTCACGACGTTGATGTATTTTAGTAAAAGGTCAAAAGTTTACAGGCTTCATATACATTTTGCGTGGGGAAGCGTGTAGATCGCAAGTCCGTCGAGACGAGCTGGTCGCAGCTTATCGTTGGATGGTTAACCGTGCTGCTTGACTCGGGAGTGATTTCTAGGTCTTCATTCCCGCCCTACTTTAAAGCACAGGTCGCACATGTGGCGGTTCTTGATCCTGCTGTGACTTTCTTGGAATTAGGCTTCTGTTCAACAATCAGTGAATACTATTCGGTGGAGTGTAGTGAATGGAATCTGCATCACCATCAGCATCACCGTCATCAACACCATCAGCATCACCATCATCATCAGCATCACCATCACCATCATCAACACCGTCATCCTGTTTCCTCCAGGTGTCGGGCGATGGGATAGCCCAGTGGTTAAAAGTGATCGCTGCCCAAGGCAAAGACCCGGGTTCGATTCCCTACATGGGTACAAAGTGTGAAGCCCATTTCTAGTGCTCTCTCTCGCGCTCTCTCTCTCTCTCTCTCTCTCTCCCTACGGTATGGTGTTTCTGTAAACAGGTGCATACACAGAGGGGGGGTTCACCCCAAACCAACCCCTCCAAGCAATTCCTGCCACCGGTGTCGTTTCTCAGCGCACCATTAGTGTAAATGTTAAAGGGTCCACTCGTCGCCCCAAAGAACTGGTTCAAATCTGACCCAAAGGTATCTAGGTGTCCTTGAAAACACTTAAATATGGATAAAATCGACAAACATGACCCAAGTTGATAATTTTATTTACAAAACACATAATATAACACACAGTGATACAGCGCTGGCCAACTCGGGCCACTGTGGACACCGGTCACATGATACGTCACGTGGTTCCTACTTAACAATGGCTACACGATGCGGTGAAACATCTTCAACAAGAAATCCTGAGGACCATATAAAATGAAATTGTATTTCGACATTTCGAGACAAGCCAGTGTCAATATTTGACCTTGGCATCCCACTGGGACTATGAAACCATATTCTTTTAAATGAAACTCGAACTCGTGGAATTCAGATTGAGAAGGTTCCAGTACCTGCACATCGTACTATAAAACAAACATGAAAAACTGACGATAAAATATGAAAATGTTTTTATTGTGATCATGTAAAGTAAAATGGAATGGTTTGTGTTTATAGATCGTGATGGTGTAATTTTAGACGTTGTGTACGTAACACTCGAGGCATTTAAAACTCACTAATGATGCTTCATTTACTCCGGCCTCTGTGTGCCAATATTGTTTAGTGCCTTTCTGTTCTCTGCCCCAGAGAAAGCGGCGGTCTAATTTTATTCAAACAAAATATTTAAAAAATATACAGTGAGATAAAAGTAAAATGTTAAGATAAATTTGTTTATTATATAGGTAGTATTTTTCCTGTACCACGATTGGTCAAAATACCGTCACATGATTGACTACAAAACACGATATTGACTTGAGTTTTCTGATAAATTACGATATTCACTTGGGTTACTAAAAATAGACAAGGAATCCCGTACGAAGGGGCTTCCCCCGCTTTTCAGCCAATCAGATCACTCGGATAGATGGCACAGCGTTTATGTTAAAACCCGTTTCTCTTTCATTATATAATAAAACAATTATAGACTCTTGTAGGGGTCGATATCAGTTTTTATTGACCTGAGAAAAACAATATCGACCTCGCAAGCTCGGTCGATATTGTTTTACTCAGGTCAATAAAAACCGATATCAACCTCTACAAGAGTCTATAATTGTATAATGTTCCCATTCGGGGTCCTGATCCACAAAGCTTTCATAACATTACGACCTATCGTAACTCTATATCACTGGCTTACGAATGTTTTTGCGCTACGAACGCTTTGTGGATAGGGTCCCTTGTCGTTATTTTGAGTAATCCCATAAAATGGCTTCCACGGGAGCTATCGTTTTGATGATATCAAGTGATATCCTGCTGGACGAAAGTGTATCGCAATGCTTCATGGTTCATTGTGACGTCATTAGCTTTACCATGTCGTTACAGTCTAATGACGTCACTAATCACCCCAGCACCAGTGTTGGCTGTACGTGTAGCCCTCAGAACACAGGGTACGGATCCACAAAACGTTCGTAGCGCTACGACATTCGTAAGACTATGAAAACCTATAGAGTTACGGCAGGTCGTAACCTTGCGAACGCTTTGTGGATCGGGACCCTGGTTATTACTGTTTTCAAATGATTTTAGATGATATATATGATGTCGCCCTCGTGTCCTTTCATATCAAATATTTCCCCAAAAGTCGATACATGTTGAAAGCTTCTCAGCCCAAGTTGTAAGCTTCTGGGCTGGTGTTGAAATGTTTGAGGTGAAAAGACACTGACGTCGAAATATTCGAAGTGCAGTAACCGAAGAACAAACAACGGAGAGATTAAAAGATAGAATACCGTTAGGCAGCGCGGCGTTCCCGCTATTACTTCCCTTACGACATCCTATCCAAACAGTTGTTTGTTAAAGTTAAGATTGCCAGAGAAT